ATACACACAACATTACCACAGGATAGACATTTAAACACAGCACAGGTAATTACACATAACGGCTACCAGGGAGTTTTGTTGAGTAATGCTATGACAGAAGGGACGAAACTTCTGCCTTAGCGAGATCTCATTGATTTCACCCAGTCAGATTGCACCAGCCCATCCAAAGACTGAAACTAGTGCCTTTCTGTCACTTGTGACCAGTGGAGAAGTGGAATAAGTGGAACATAACAGGATATTTATTCTTGAACATGTTTATGAGTCACACTGTTAACTCAGAGGCTCCTAAAGTCCCTGAGGTCAAACACATGAGTTTCTGTGTACCTTTCCACCCTAAAATTATCCTCTGTTGAAACTGTTTTTCCTCTATTCCAAACCACCAAGGATCAGCACTGTATGCTTCTTTCCCACATTTTCCTGCTAATATAAGGCCAGTTATTTTTGCCAGGCCAGGAAAGTTAACAACTATCTTGTATATTCACCAAGCAACATATCTTATCAACTTCTAATTTGGCCATGGTAACCAGTTTCAACCTTAAAAACTAAAAAAAAAACAGTGGTGAATTCAGTACACAATCTTTTCATGAATCAGAATGAGTGTAACACACTTCCTGAGCAGTTTTTGAGAGCTCCTTCGTTGTTGGTCTACAGGGGTTCCTGGCCTGCAAAACAGAGGAGTTTGACTTGGATATGGATGGAGAGAAGGCACCTATCTGCTATAAGGAGATCACTACCGCTCTAAGACAGTGGATTCTTCCCACATTTGTGAGTCTACCCGACACACTCTTTCCCAGACCAAGAGTACTCAAACACTCAAAAAAGCTTTTTGTCTGACGATGAGCATCATCTCTATTTCCATATAGGAAAAGAGGATGAGGACGTTAATCCACAAGCCGCTGTGTGCGCTCCGTGACCTCCTGGTGGGCCCAAGGAACCTGATCAGGAAAAGACTAGACAAGCTGCTCGACTATGAAGTGATTTGTGACAAATCCAGTCAGACCTATGAGGAACAGGCTGTGGCCAACACGTACAGGTAGAAACGGAGAAGGATGGTTTTAAAATTACAAGTCGGACTGTAGCCGTTTGTAAAAGTTTCTGTGTGGTATCTGTGTCGTAGCTGAGCTAGCCTCTACATACAGGAGAGGTAGCTTCTCCTGTATGTATGTTTGTCTGTGGGGTGACTGTCAGTGCGTGGGATCAAGGTAAACACTGCGGTCCGAACCGCTGCGCCAAATAGAAATATACTAAGTAGAGGTTTAGCAAAAACTTAAACTCCTGTGAATGATGCATCTCCATCAGTATACATTTAAAAATAAGCGTGTTTGTCTTAAAACGTACAGGGTGATTTTAAACAGTAGGGGGCGTGTTGAGCCATTTGAGCCAGAACAAAAAAAAAAATCTAGTCTGTCTAAGTCAGTGTCAAGCCAGAAAGTCAGGCTCTATTTTTACAGCCTCCTCCTCTGAGTGACCAATGTCTATATGATTACACGCTTTGGAAGTGATGTTCAAATGGAATTCGAGCTTGTGGAGCCCATCTAATCAAAGGATTAAAAGTTAATTAAATCAAATGTTGAACAGTTTTTTTCCATTCGTGTAAAAGTCAAATGTTTAATGGTTATCGCTGACTTGAACTCACATGTAATCCTCTCCTCACAGGACAATGAACACGTTGCTCCTCAACGAGCTTCCTCAGTTTAATGGTTTGGCTCTGCAGATGATCTGGAGCATGTTGGGGACGTTCAGCTGTCTGCATAAAGACCTCGCCTCAGACATGGAGCAACTGTTCCAGAGCTTTGCACAACAGGTAATCCGTTACCCCCTCGAGCCGCTGAACTGATGATAGAATAAAGCAGAAAAACTGATAAACATTTTGTTGAGAAGTTAGCAGGGTCTTCAGTTTTCAGTGAGGTGGAGATGTGAATTACTTGCATCTTACACCCAAGCAGTTATCTAACAAGTAAAATAATAACACCATGAGGTAGCTATCTTCCAGTACACTAACCCTTCAGGATATAAACATAAATGATTTTGAAAGGTTTAAGTGAATTTCAATACTCATTGTGTTCCTTTGTCTCTGTCTCACTATATATATATATTTTTTTTAATTTCCAGCTCCCTCACAGCTCTCTTGACCCCAGTGCATTCTGGAGGTGGGCGGAGTCTGCTGTGCTGGAAGGTGCAAAGAAGCTGGAGACACTGTGTCGAAGTGTAGAGGACACGCTCAATGCGCCCGTCGTCCAGGTTGGTACAAACAAAACTGAAATAGCTGTTACATAACAGTGTGTTTTGTTGTGTGTCTATTTGCTTCATGAACCCTCTGAAACCCAAACCTACTGTTATAAGCCATAGATGGATCAAATGTTAACATCCAGACATGATGGTCAACAGACCGTGAATTAACAATATCATTAAAACAGAACAACAAACATTGTTGTCATTGGACACCTGACCTCTGTCACATTTCCTTGTACAGCAGGTGCAAAAGAAATTTGAGCAGCTTAACTGGAACATTCGGCACAAAACATTTACACAACAGTACCTATTCTGCAGTCCAAAGATGTTGTGGGAGCTGCGATTGAGCAGCAGCTGTTAAATGACTGACAAAACGTTTGTTGTTAATGTCAGTAAGTATAGTCATTTTTATTTCAGATCAATGTAGCGGCTTCCATCACTCGTAGAACCAGTTACACATGGCGTCAAAAGTGTTTCTTTTACAAATACCCGGCATTAAACACCATAACAAGTCTTAAATCCAACACTGCACTGATTACAAGATGCTAGTCTTTTATGTTTACATCCTACACATTTCCTGTTTTCAATTTAAAAACAAACAAAACTCTCATTATATTCTTACCTGTCATACTTTCCTGCAAAGAAAAAAGGTTCCTGTATAGTTTGAATTAAAGTCAGTATTGAATTCTTTCTAATTAAGTTTTAAAAGGGTCTGAAAAGGCATTAAATGTACCTCTGTCTAAAGACACGCTATTTTAAACGTATAATAGTTATGTTCATCGACTTCCTTCCTCATACTCATCCAGAAGTTACAGCAACTACAGGCAGGTAGGAAACATACTGTTACCTGAATAAAATTATAGATTTCTCTGGGTTTGAAAAATGTTGGAAACATTTGAGATAGTGTAGGTATATTACTCAACAAAATATATAACATATGTCTAGTCAATTTTAGACATTTTAAGGCATATTACATATTATACCTTTAATCAAGCTGTGGCTGTAGTAACATTTAGATGGGTTGCCTTAAAAAAAATGTTATTCATTGATATTCATTGTCACCAGAGGATGAATCCTAATTACATTGATCCCCTGACCTTTCTAACTCAGATTTAACCCTTGTGCAGCACTGAGGTCATAACCAAATGTGCCAAACACTGATTCATACCAACCAAACTCCAGCTTGAACTGGGCCACATTCCCTAAACCTGCCAGGCAACTTACATAAATGACCTGGTTGCACTCATGTCTAAGGTTATAATAACCTTAGGTGATACCTTTCTGATGAGCTCACTGGCTGTCATCATATCTTATTATGTCACGTCATTCATGTGTAATTTTAATCTGAATGTGCTTCTTGTTCTGCAACTTTATGAATTACTTCCCAGCATGTTTTGGCTACGCTGTCATTCCAAGTGGGACTTTCCTGTGATGGCACATTGCAGGCTGACTAAAGTCCCACATGATTCATTTTAATGATTTTGTTTTCAAATGTGTACAACGACTCAGGATAACAACCATTTTATTCAACATCTTCAAAATACTGGATTCTGATTGGTCAACAGCATCTACTCTAATTTAAATGAGATACATCTGCAGAATGAAGACTTTCTACTTTTAGTTAGAAGCTGGAACCAAAGATGTATTTTCTACTAGAAAAATAATATAAAACTCCAGTTTGGCTTGTTACATCACATTAACACATAAGCCCTCAGTAAGAAATATAAGCCCCTGTTTGTATAACTCAGTAAACACGTTGAAGTTTAATTTTCAGCTCAGAGCAGACTAAGTCGGTTCTTTCTTTACATTCCACTCTCTTCTGTATCGTGTTTTCTTCTGTCAGCCTCTGAGTCCATCTTCTCAGCACCGTCTGAAGCAGCTAACAGGTAAACACGGTTCTGGAAAGATCTACCAGGTGATTGGGGCGGTGGTAGGCAGCCGAGACCTGGACCTGAACCTGGCCAAAGGGGAGCTGGTGGCCGTTATCAGTGAGGCAGACACCCGCGGAGACAAACGAAGGTGGCTGGTTGACGCAGGAGGTAAGAACCAACATCCTCCTAGTGGATAACTGCTTAAAATGTTAATCAACCATTTGTTTTAATCATATCACAGAGGCAGTGTTGGCAAATGTTTTTCTTCTTAAATTTTCTGTTGATAAAATTTGAGTTTATTGAACCAGAGAGCTTTTATTTGTGTACTCATTCATGCTGCATGCTGCCCATGATCACCACCGAGTGCTGTCCTCTGAAATTGAAATGCAACTGAAAGTCAGCTGTTATTCTTGCTAAAATGTGTTTCCTAATCATGAAAATAATTCTATGAAACCTGCAGATACATTTATAGGAGCATAATTTGTGACTGTGGCTTTGAAGTGGAGAAAAAGAGCTGGTTGTGTGATTAAAATAAATGAAGAAACACTTTCTGTTTGCATTACCTACAGTGTGTCATTCATGTCTGTGGTTAAAAGAAGTGTTTGTTGATAGAAACCCAGAAATGGCAGATATTACTATAGAATATTTTCTTAAACCAGTACAGCTTTTCTTAAGTGCAACTCTTTGGCGCCATCTTTTGGGTGTTTGTTGTTATTGCAAATAACCAGCAATGAAACACAGGGTAGTAAACAGTAAAGCAGGGACTTAGAGGACAGTCTGAAAATAGAAACAATTAAAGTGTGATTTTTGGAAGTGTTAAAGTTGGTGTAATTAAAAAGAGAGATTCCAGGTTATTATTTTTTTAATGTTGGATTAAACACCCAGAAGAGGTCACATTACATGTTAGGATCCATACTTTATACTAGAAAGTCTGTAAAATCCAGTTTTAAATGTTAAGAAGTTTGTTCTTGCGTTACTGACTAAATGTTACAAAAGTAAGTAAGTCATATTTTTATGCAGAAATGTCATACAAAATTGAAAAATTCACTGATTCCAGCTTCCCAAATGTGAAAACAGTTTCTTTTGTGTTTTGGACTATTGGTCGGACAAAACAAGCAATTCAAAGGCATCCACTTTGGCTCTGGAAAACTATTTGAAGACATTTTGTAGACCAAATAACACATTTATTGACTTATTAGAAAATCTGCAGATTAAACAATAGTGTAGATAATCATTAGTTACCACCCTAATATGTAATAACATGGACACACGACATCTGTGTATGTTGCAGGCAGGAGAGGGTACGCTCCCTCCTCAAAGCTGCTTCGCTATCACCAGCCAGCAGAGGACCCGCCCCCTTCGCCACACTTGACCCTGCCTGAGGGCGTGACAGGAATCAGAAGACACTCTTACACCCCAGAGGGCCGGCCACTGAGTGTCATGAGCCAGCCGTGCTTCCAGGTGATTGAGTGATTGATTGATTGACTGTATTTACATGATAGAAACTTCACTCTCAATAGGCATAATCCCCCTACTGTGCAGAGGATCTGATTAGATGGAGCAACTTGCTCCACACATTTGCATATTAATGAGGTAGAAAGTGATTCTCTTAATTCGTAGCTCCTTAATGCTTCAGTTTATATGTTGTCGGCCAAATGTTATGTGAAATAAAGTAGTTCGACTATATATTTAGTTAACTAATGCATCAATCAGCACTTTTTGGGCCTCGTTAGTGTTTATTATATTGCTAGGCAGCTCATGTGCTCCTTAGACCATAGACTGGCAGTGACATCGGCCTCAGCTTGCTGCTCTGGGTTTAAATTATCTCACGTCAGACTCCAAACTGTGTGTGCTAATTTCCTAAATGAAACCTTACAGACTCTGTGCGTGCTTTAACTGATTGATGTGACAGCGTTCTGCTACGGAAGCATCAATCTCTCACATGTCTGACTGTGTGTGTGTGAGAGGCCCTGGCATTAACATGCATCTTAGGTGATCCGATCACAAGTGGACAGCTCGAAGGACGTCAGTTCACACCTGGCATAAGAATGCATCTTCACATGCGTCTCAAGAGAACACTTGTGATCGGCTCTCACTTCCCTGCTTTATATGCAAATTAACACAAAGACTTAGCCTATATTGGTTACTATTTACTGTATTTTAAAATTTTAAAATACTATCATAAATTTAGTGTAAATAGTTAAATCAGATGAAGGTGTGTTCAAACATCTGCTAAATGTTGGCATCTAAGATAGTCCAGTACCAGTATAGCAATAACTATAGTGACAAACTGACTTTCTTACAGGGAAAGAAACAATGCCGAATCCATAAGAAGGCACGAATGATTAAGAATTGGCTGTAGCTGTTAATCAAGTTTCTCCTCACTCACCAAAATTGAATAATCTTCTTAAGGGACTTTGGGGATGTTACTCATTCAATGGTGAAATCAGTTGAAACAGACGTGTGTTCACAAGTCTCTGCTGCTTATCTTGGTAAGAGAGAGGGCCCAAATATGTAATTGGAATTGCAGTGCACCAAATGTTAATCAGACAGCGTGTTTCATGTGTACTTACAGGACTGTCGGTTGAGTAAGTGGCCCTTCAGTGTGGCTAAGGGCACATCTGCGCACACACTGCTAAAAGAGTGTGTCCTCATGATGGTGTAAACAGGGCCTGAGAGAGAGAGAGAGAGAATCCTTGCATTCCTAGCCATGTGTAAGTGTAATTGTATGCCTACCCATATCTGTAAGAGGGCATACTGGAGTGTGTAAGCATTTGTGTGCACGTTATTAATGGAAATGTCCATAATTAGCTGTTTAACCTTGTAAGTGGGTTACGGTGTGAAGGGTTGAGAGTTAATTTATGCGACACAGCACTGCAGGCTGAGATAGAGCATGTTTGTGTGTGCGTGTGTGTGTGTGTGTGTTGTGAAATTGATTTACATTTGCAACACATTGTGAGTGTGAGGTGGGAGTGTCTCGGCTTGTAAATTTCCGATGGTTTATGGGGGCTCGTACGTTTGAGAGAGGGAGATTTAGGTGAGTGGATGAGAAAGCAGGATTGTGTTGGGTATCAGGTGTGTGACTGTGCGTGTGTGTGTGTGAGATATGCCTCCACTCCCATCCCCCGTGACCCTGAGTCTGCTCATATAACACATAGCGTGTGAGCGGGGATGGGCTGCAGCCCCCCGTGACTGCATGTCAGCAGCTATATCCTCTCTTTAGGCACCGATCGAATCTGGAAGTTTCTTGCTGTAACCATGAACCGTCTTATGATCTAACGAGATTCTTGTTTTAATGAAGTCATTCATCATTTAAGGACTTTTTATATGTCATTATAACAAGAAATGTTACTTATTGAGATGAAATTATTGGGTATGCATTAATGAATAAATGAGAATAGTGTCGTAATGAAAGAAAGAAATACAATACTATGCACCTGTAATATGCATTCAGCAGTATTTTAAAAACAAAATACTTGTCACACAAAGTCAGAGGTGACAAAATGGAGGTTTAATCCCCTTTTGAGCGAGCAGAAGGTCTACCCATGTCTTACATCGTGCTTTTTGTCACTAGTATACATTCAATAGTGAAAAGCTCCCTTCACTTGAAGCAGACTGTTCTTTTGCTTTTGTTGGAAATAATGAAATTAAAATCTCACATTTGTGGCCCCACTATGTTGTCATGACCATACTATCAACACAAAGAGGCGCCGTTCAGCTGGATCCCACTCCTCTCAACTCCTTCCTTTCCAGCAGAAACGTAGCTGCGGCAAATATTCGCTCAGTTCTTGCAACATGAATCACTCTGCAGCCCATAGATATGGTCACTTTACTTTTTTTTTTTTTTAAATGTTCTCCTCCATGTCTCTGCCTGGCAAAATGCTAATTAAATGCTAATTGGTGTAGACCGTCAGGGCAGAGCTAATGTCGCAGCTGAGAGGTGAGCTGAGGTGAAGGGTTTGTTAATGACACCGAGCAGCCGGCTAAACTCAGCTATTAGCACTGCTGGGGCTCTCTGTCATAGCAACACCGGGCTCATTAGGAAGCCTTCATTCTGTCTGCGTGCATGTGTATGTGCGTGCATGTGTGTGTGGTGATGAGATGGGATTTGTCAAGACATAACTAGTGGGCTTAACCTTTTCAGAGAATATTACAATGATTTGTGTGTGTGTGTGTGTGTGTGAGTGTTCGCATTACCTGTGTGCAGTCTTTCTCCAGTGCTTGCTCTTTTCTTGAAGTCGCGTGTTGGGAACTTTGTACAACAACAACCTTAATTAGGGATGATGTCCCAAAGTTTTGGCTCTGATTCCGATCCGAGTCCTTTTATATCAGGAGTCCAGTCCAATGTTTATATTTACCTAAATGTTGGAACGCAAGCTGTAGCCTGCTTAATCTGACTCACCATATCATCCACAAGTTACTTGATCCAAATACTGCTGGTCCTGGTTCAAAAATATTAAGTTCATGGCTCAAAGATTAGCTTGAGAATGCGCCCCCTGAAACTGACTTGAAGCGATCAGCCCATCACTGTGTAGGAGCTGTTGGAACTACACAAACACTTACAGAGTGAAGGTTCTTCCCCCAACAAAAGATCTGCAGGGAGCATTTTAACCAAACAACATACACAGTTTAATTGTGGCCTATTATCAGGTTAGTCACAGAAATAGCATGAATTGGCAACCGCTGATGTGACGGCAATGTTTAACCAGAAAGGGCAACGGTGAGTGCCGGCTAAAAATGACACGGTGTGCATTGAACATTGTACATTTTGTACATTTCTCTTCGCTAAAGATAATTACCGTCTCAGTTTAGTGAAGTTTGTATTTGTCAGCTTCAGGGTATGAATTGATGAAATGAAATAATGTTTCACCTTCACACACACTCCTTCACTCGCACATGCAGTGAAGTGCTTGCATTGGGGAGCCGCACACTGCGGTGGACAAACCCCAGTAGTGTTCAGTAAATGCCAAAAGACAAGTTGAGCTTTAGATGTCTTAAAATGGCCACTCTATAGAGGATAAGCCCATTAGAGTTAGCATGACCTTTCCTCTGATGCCACGCTGACAAATTGTACATTTTGTCTCCTCTATTGCTAGTAAGGATTGACAAACTTGTCTCTACATTTTCTTCTCATCCTATCATTTTGTTCTCTGCTCTGGAACGAGCATTACAGCCTTACAGCAGGGTTTCTATCATGACTGACGTTTAGTCTTGTCTCTGACTCGGCATCCTCTCTTCCAGGTGTTTGCAGCCTACGACTTCAAAGCGAGAGGAAACCATGAAGTTTCTATTCGGGCCGGTGAACCAGTCCGTGTCCTGGAGCGCCATGACAAACGAGGGAACCCAGAGTGGAGTCTAGTGGAGGCGACAGGAGGGCACAGAGGCTACGTGCCCTCCAACTACCTCACAATCATGCCTTTGGGGACTGGGCCACCTGGCACTTTCCAGCCCTACTGCTAAGACGGAAGGAAGGAGAGGAAAAACAGCAGCTTGTACCGTATGACAAAGGTTTCACCAGTACTGTATTTAGTACAGTCTTTTTTTGTTCAGTTTTTTTTTGTTTTTGTTTTTTTTTTCGATGTTAAAATCAGTCTTTTAAAAGACATTAGAGCCATCTAATACAAAAGCATTATGGCCACAGTGTTAGCTAAATTCTGTTTTTTTTTTTTTCAGTTTTATAGCTATATTACTACACCCACTTCCTGTGCAAACCAGTGATTTTTAAAATTGCAAGGAAAGGAAAGTAAAAGTGAAGTCACATCAGTTTTATTTATATAACCCAAAATCACATCTCTGCCTCAAAGAACTGTACAGTCTTTGCAGCCTCTCTCCTTAGACCCTGACTGGATAAGGACGGAAAGAAAGAAAAGAAAGTCTTCCCATCATAACCTTTTACAAGTAAGGACCTATTGATACATTTGGAATTTTTTTTTTCCATCCACACAAAAACTGTATCTTTTAAAGTGCTCTCCAAAGTGGAGAGTGAGCAAATACAAACGCTGGCATCTGACTCTAGTGTCATCCAAACTCTAGCTATCGATATTACTGGCGGTGCCGGAACAGTGTGTAAACGTCAGTTATACCTACAGTGTTTTAAGTTTTTCTGGCTTTATGGACTTGGCCTTACTAGTGTTAATATATGTGACACACTGGAAACATGAAGGAAGCTGCAGCCGTGGTGCTGGTAGTTAACACGCTGTCCTGCTCGTGAGCACTGAGGCAGGACAGATGCTTGCTGAGATGGAATTTAACATCTCGAGGCGAAAGGACGATCTTCAAGTTGCACTGCAGATTTTCTGTGGCCATTGTTGAAAAGCACCATGGAAGATGGGAGGCGAATGGGGGTCGTCGGAGCTGCATGAGAAGAGCGACTTATATCCCATGATCCTCTGTGGGAAAAGAAAAAAAGAACACTTGAATTGAAAATGATTGACTGCATGTTCTCGTTAAAGTGTCCGCGTGTTAGCGAGCTAACCGCAACACTTAGACACACGGAGAGCAAAACGTGTTTGTGCGCATCTGTTTGATATGAAATTGAGCTGACAGATTAGTGTGTGTGTGTGTGTG